TTTCTCGGTAGAAGAAAAGCCAATAAATGCCCGGACATGTTGCCACTTGCTTACAATGTCAGAAATCGTTCAAACCTGACATAGATGCCATACCATGTGCATGCCCCTCTGCTTGCAAAAGTTGGGGTCATTTGAAGTTTTTCTGAAAATAGACCATGTTCAACAGAGATTGTTCGGATAGGCCAGAAAGCTCCGCCTGAGAGCACGTGGTCTTTCGACATCCGTGAAATGGCTCCAATTTTTTTTGCATGACCTTGTATGACTAACTAAAGGCACAATGCCAAGTTGGTTTTTTTTATGAATTTTGCATTTTCTGGAGTTTTTCAGCCAAAAAAATTCGATAAATGGCCGAAGATGTCGCAACTTGCATACGGTGTCAGATATCATTCAAACATGCACATGGGTGCCTACCATGGGCATTTCCACCTTCTTGAAAAAGTTGGGGTCATTTCAAGAATGTCCAAAACTAGACCATATTCAAACAAGGGTGTTCGGTTGGCCAGAAGGCTCCGTCTAGCACGTTGTTTCTTGACATCTTTGAAATGGCCCCAATTTTTTCCATGGTCTGTATGACCAATTCAAGGCACTATGTCAAGTTGTTTGGATTTTCGACAAGTTTTGCATTTTCTAGAGTTTTCCCGATGCAAAAGACTAATAAATGATCAAACCTGTCACAACTTGCATACGGTGTCAAAAATCGTTCAGACTTGGCACTGATGCCTACCATGGGCAATGCCCACATTCCTGCAAAAGTTGGGGTCATTTGAAGGAAGTCCAAAATTAGACCATGTTTGACAAAGGGTGTCCGGTAGGCCAGAAGGCTCCGTCCGAGAGCCTTTTTTCTCAACATCCTTAAAATAAGTTCATAGATTTGAAAAAAGTTCATGAATTTAAGAAAATTAAAAATAAGAAGAAACAAATAAAAATAGAAAAGAATAAAAATGAAGAAAAAAAGGCCAAACAAAAGAAAAAAACAGACTGAGAAGATATGAAAAAAGGTAATTAGACACAATAAGTTAGTTGTCCTAATTGGTTAAAGTTGGTGAAGTAGTCCAAGAGGTCCATAATTTGAATCCTACTTCGTGTACCTATTTTTTGAAGGTTAAAAAAGAAAATAGAAATGGACCAGACCAAGGACGGAGGGATGTGTGTGCCGGTTTATGTGACGCCTAGTCACCTCTGAAAGATCGTGGATGTCGCCTAGAGGGGGGTGAATAGGCGCGTTAAAATAATTACGATTTAGGCTTGAACAAATGCGGAATAAACCTAGCGGTTAATTTGTCAAGCACAAAAGCTACAACAACTAGGCTCACCTATGTGCACCAACAACTTATGCTAAGCAAGATAAGCAACTATGTGATAGCAAGATATATGACAAAGAACAATATGGCTATCACAAAGTAAAGTGCATAAGTAAAGGGGCTCGGGTAAGAGATAACCGAGGCACGCGGAGACGATGATGTATCCCGAAGTTCACACCCTTGCGGATGCTAATCTCCGTTTGGAGAGGTGTGGAGGCACAATGCTCCCCAAGAAGCCACTAGGGCCACCGTAATCTCCTCACGCCCTCGCACAATGCAAGATGTCGTGATTCCACTAAGGGACCCTTGAGGGCGGTCACCGAACCCGTACAAATGGCGACCCTTGGGGGCGGTCACCGAACCCGTACACTTTGGCAACCCTTGGGGGCGGTCACCGGTACCCGTCAAATTGCTCGGGGCGATCTCCACAACCTAATTGGAGACCCCGACGCTTGCCCGGAGCTTTACACCACAATGATTGAGCTCCGAACACCACCAACTAACTAGGGCGCCCAAGCACCCAAGATGAACAAGCTCAAGGGCACCAAGCACCCAAGAGTAATAAGCTTCTCAACTTGTAACTTCCACGTATCACTGTGGAGAACTTAAACCGATGCACCAAATGCAATGGCAAGGGCACACAGAGTGCCCAAGTCCTTCTCTCCCAAATCCCACCAAAGCAACTAATGCTAGGGAGGAAAATGAGAGGAAGAACGAAAAAAGAACACGAAGAACTCCAAGATCTAGATCCAAGGGGTTCCCCTCACTTAGAGGAGAAAGTGATTGGTGGAAACGTGGATCTAGATCTCCTTTCTCTTTTCCCTCAAGAACTAGCAAGAATCCATGGAGGGATTGAGAGTTAGCAAGCTCGAAGAAGGTCAACAATGGGGGAAGAACACAAGCTCAAAGGATATCTCTCAATGGGGAAGAAGACCCCCTTTTATAGGTGGGGAGAAAAACCAACCGTTATCCCCTCACTCAGCCCGCACGACGCGGTACTACCGCACAGAGCTGCGGTACTACCGTGGTCGGCTGCGGTACTACCGCTGCAGGTTGCGGTACTACCGCATGTGCAGCACTGACCAGATGAAGGCCTGTTGCACAGGGCAACGAGCGGTAGAATCGCCGGAGCGGTACTACCGCGCGCCCCTACGGTACTACCGCGCTGAGGAGGACCTGCGCAAAACTCCGGCACGGTACTACCTCACACGAAGAGCGGTACTACCGCGTAGGGCGCGGATGTAAAAAATTACATCCGCCCCTACTTCCGCTCATGCTGCTACGCCTGGCCAGAGCCCACGGTACTACCGCGCTCACGGCGCGGTACTACCGCGTAGGGCGCGGATGTAAAAAATTACATCCGCCCCTACTACCGCTCGAGCAGCTGCGCCTGGCCGGAGGCCACGGTACTACCGCTCCAACAGAGCGGTACTACCGCAAGGGCCTGCGGTACTATCGCTCCGGAGAGCAGTACTACCGCATGCTCCAGATCAGCAACACTAGGAGTCCTTCATTTTGCAGAGAAGACAACAGAGGGTAACAATAAAACCAGAACTGCCATAACTTCTGCAAATGAGCTCCGAATTAAGCAAACTCAAGCTTGTTTGATACAAGACAACGAGTAGCATCAAAACCTCCAACAGAGAAGAACCGGCATACCCTCCAACATCGAAAACATCATAGAAGACGCATGTGAACTCCGTTTTCGATGAACTCGAACTTGTCATAAAAATGACCAAAAGCTCCAAAACTCACAAGGAGAAGAACCAAACAAGAACCAATAAGGATGATGCAAGGATGCAATGGTTTGAGCTCTCTACGAATGATACGATCAAGCAACTCATCGAGAGTCCCCCTTGATAGTACGGCAATCGATCCTATAACCCGGTCTCCCACAACTACCATGAGACCGGTAAATAGAAAATCTATCAAGGGCAAACCTTTGCCTTGCACAAAGTCCACTTGAGCTAGATGATGATGATCTACTCCTCCTCAAGATGGACCACCTTTTTTGATTGCGTTGGCTCGATGAAGACTAGTTGATTGCTCCCCCATACTCCACTATGGGTGAGCCACTCTTCCGATCATCTTCACAAGTCCATTGTCACCACAATGGACGACAAGCTTCAAGCACTTGATCTCTTCGTGATACATCACTTGAACTTGCACACCGCAACCTAACCCCACAAAGAACTCTCACAAAGACCATGGGTTAGCACACAAAGCGTAATGGACAATGCTTACCATACCATGGGACTTGATCCCTCGGTACATCTTGTGCGCTTTGTGTGTTGAATCTTTTCAACTCTCTTCATTTGAATGATGTCTTGAAGGTGGACATGAAGGATCACACAATCTTATTCTTCAAGACATGCTTACAATAAGCTCAACACTCACATGACCGATCTTTGGATAATTCCTTAATAGCACCGTGGTCATCACAAACTCTCCTTGAAACCAACACATGGACTCCAAGAAAAGCCTATGGACAAACCCTTCAAATATAACTCAAGGAAACCATTAGTCCATAGAGATTGTCATCAATTACCAAAACCAAACATTGGGGCACCGCATGTTCTTTCAACCTCTTACTGCACTAGTTAGCGGATGCAGAGCTCGCACACCACCTTTCATGGTCTGGCCCAACTACACGAGGGATCAATTGTCACTTGTCAAGAGCATACGCCTGATCGCTTCTTTGTGGTTCGGCCCAAAAAACTTTTTATGGTTGACCTAGACAAGAAGTCGACCATTGACATGTTTGACCTTTGATCATTGACATTAAAAAACTAGTTCATCTTTTTAGAAAAGTTCATGGATTCGAAAATTTTAGCAGATTTGCAAAATGTTCACAAATTAAAAAAATGATGGATTTTGAAAAAAATCATAGATCTGAAAAAAGTTCACAAAATTTCACGAATTTTAAAAAAAGTTCAATGATTTTGCAAAAAGTTTATCAATTTTTTTAAAAGTCCATCGATTTTCAAAAATAAAAAATCATCAACTTTGAAAAATTCAATCATTTTGAGAAAGGTTCATCGATTTTGAATAAAGTTCAACGACTTCCAAAAAAAGTTCATTGATTTGTTTAAAAAAAATGAAACTAAAGAGGTTTGCACATTGCAAAATAAAAAGAGGAACAAAAAGGAACAGCAAAAAAAGGAAAATAAAAACCGAACAAAAGCATTTGAGAGAAAGGGAAAAAGAAAGAAAAGAAAGAAAGAGAAAAGAGGACAGAGGAAAAGAACGAGAATAATAATAATCTAAACACGGTTGTGGCTGCTTGGTTATTGCGTCTACATTTGTACCAGGAAGTCCCTGGTTCGAGTCCTACCAGGCTCACTTTCTTGCGACTTACATTTAGAAAAAAATATTGGCAGGCCCAGCTCACTCTACAGGTGTACACCGTATACGGCGGTTTCTAATATACTCCCTCCGTTCTAAAATAAATGACTCAATTTTATACTAACTTTAGTATAAAGTTGGGTCATCTATTTTGGAACGAAGGGAGTACTTCCTCTGTATCAAAATACTTGTACTTGACGGATATAGGCAATCATGCCCTTTTTTTTTACGGACCATCATGCCTTTTCTTACGAAGAGGTATGGCCTAATCTGAGCCGTCCTTGTGTTTAAGGAGGGTCCACCGAAGCAGAAGTCTAAGAGAATTTGCCTCCTGGTAGACCACTTGCAACCGAAGGTCAACAGCAACAGCAACCCAGGTATGGCCCTCGCCTTGAATTTGCAACCGAGCGTTTGTAGGTTGGGCATGGCCCCCGCCTCGAATCCCAGGTCTGCCATAGCGTCTTCCTCACTCCAAAATTCAAAGTGCTCCAGAACAGGGAATAGTCCCGCGCCCACTATAGCCCTTTCTTTAGGGATATGTGACGGCCTGAAAATGAGTTTGACGAGGGAGGGAAGATCTCCCAGAAGACGGAAATCTTCAGTTGAGGTCTCCTCCACACGCAGGTTGAGGATGCGAAGGCAATGGAGACCACCCATCCATATGGGAACTCTAGGAAAATTCAACACAGACACATCAATCTCCTCGATGTGTTGGAAAGGATTGGATAATGAGCCCATTTGGCTATGGATTTCAGTCTGAAACCCTGAGAGTTGAAGAGATTTGAGGTTCCAGAGCTTTCCAATGGAGCAGGCCAAAGCATCAAGTTCTGACTTCTCCAAAGACCACAGACTGATTGTTAGGTCCCTGAGATTGGTCAGCTCGCCGAGACCTATAATACCGTTCATCCCATTCAATTCCCTCTGATCGGTCCCCATGCCTACCGGCATTCTCAGACTATTCAGTGATTTCATATTCCCAATCCATTCAGGCAGCACTCCGTGGTTGCATTTATCAATGTAGAGATAGGACAAGCACGACAAATGGACTATATCTGAGGGAATGCTCTTGAGCTCTGAATCAATGTGCAACGTCTCCAAGTAAACAAGCCCTTGAAGTTCAGCAGGGAGCTGTATGAAATCTGGTCCCTCAACGTACAAATACCTCAACTGAAACAATTGGCTAATAGCAGTGAGATCAAGAGTCTGCTCGTCTCCCCTGGCACTGCCTTGATCAATCCTGAGCACCCGGAGATACTTGAACAACACAAGAGGAGGCATGGATTTCCCAAACAGTGTAAATGACCGAACTTGTGATAGGTTAACAGTAATAGTTGGGTCGTCTGTTGCTCCACCACCAGCCATGGAGCTCAAAGATACTCGACGGACCTTATACTTGCAGCCATGCAGTCTTGCCATGCCTTCATAACTGTATGCCACACTTAAAAAGTTATTTCTATCACACTTGCTCAGGATCAAATCAAGCATAATATCGTGTACTCTGCAAGACAACACCTCCCCATACTGTGTGTGACACGGCTGAACCATGCTTCTATTGATAAGTTCATTGAAATAATTCCTGCCAACAACCTCCAAATCTTGCACGTGCAAACTATCAACAAGCAAGCCTTCAGCTTTCCATTGCCGAACCAGATCATCCCTTAAGATCTCGCGATCCTCAGGATACATGCCAAGGTACAAAAAACATGCCCGCAGATGAGCAGGAAGATGCATGTAGCTAAGGTTTAATATACTCTTCATCTCTTCCAAAGTGGGATTTGTGGCAGAGTGAGCACCCAGAGAATCCCTTATACTCTCCCAGCCCTTCCTTGATCTTTCTTGACTGGCTAATAGGTTACCTACTGTTATAACAGCAAGTGGCAATCCATGACACTTGCTCAAAATCTCAGCCATGATGTCTGCAAGTTGTGGTGGACAACCATGTACAGACCCAAATACTCTATTGAGCAATAACATTCTTGAGTTTTCTTCACTGAGAGGTTCCAATTTGTAGATACCCTCACGGTCATTCTGACAGGCTGCACCAGCCACAACTTCAACTCGGGTTGTGACTATTACTCTACTTCCATTACCCTCTTCTGGAAACACGCACTTAATAATGTTCCATGCTGATTCATCCCACACATCGTCAACAACAATAAGGTACCTGTTCACATGTTTGTTAATGTAAGTTACATCACAATATGATATATTTAGATTATAGACGGAATCATCAAAATCTTGACAAAATAGGTTGCAGCAATAAGGGGTATAGGAAATTTTCCGAGAAGCTAATGAATTATCATAATGATCGGAAAAGTAATATCAAAGCATATCATTGTCCCTGTCTATCACAAAGGATCAAAAATAGTACCAGATATGCGAACTTGACGTTATAAATCGATGTCCTATACGTCACAAATGATTAATTACCTATTTCTATTTTCACAAAAACAAAAGGTGTGGAGGGATATGTTTAATCCTAGATGTAAAAAACTTTGTCAAAGTTTCTGACCTGTTTAGCACATATGTGTCACATAGACATTCAATAACCGGTCTTTTAAACGTTGTCAAAATCCTAGATGTATTTTTTTATAGGTTTATTTTTCTGACATCATATGTCTGCCATACACAGACAAAGCACCGAACAATCAAAATGCAGATTGGATGGACAAATATCAGTACAAAATGTACATTCAATTAGTTAGCTCGAATTAAACAAGTGTAGCCCATGCAAATTACTGACGATAGTAAGCAATACCTGTTATTTTTCAGATGTTGTCTTATCTCTTCAATGATGTCGTCAACCTTGCGAGTGTGAGATGTATCAGGCTTCTTCATCCCAAGTTTATATTGTAAATTGTTGAGTAGCTCAGTCATATCAGGCCTCTGCGAAACTGAAAAGAATGCCTTGCAATCGAACTGCAAGCCAATCTTGTCATACACCTGTTTGGCAAGTGTAGTTTTGCCAAGGCCACCAAATCCCACAATTGACACCACTTTGAGATTCTTTTGAGTATCCATCAACCGAGTCACAACCTCCTCCCTTGGGCCATCAATGCCAATGAGAGAATCTGCCTCCTGGTAGACTGCTCGCAGCCGAGGGTCAACATCCACAGAGCCGGAGGCAGGCTTCCAATCATCAACCTTATACCTCTGGCGCCGAGCATTCGCCTCTATAGCGACGGTCTTGAGTTCTTCCATCTGGTGGGCTATACGAAGACGGTCTCGCATCTTCTTGATGCGTCGAGCAGTATTCTTGATGAAGCTTCTCTTGGCATCGTCAGCTCGGGACTGACGGATGAAGTCGTCGATGCAATTCTCCATGTCGTAGGACATCTCCCTGACATGGTCCCTCCAGTCCTTGATGTTTGGATCGAGCTCGCCATCCATGAGCTCCAGCTTCTGGAGAGCGGCATTCATGGCGCTAAGTTCCTCCTGGAGGAAGGAGGCCTGCTTCTTGACCCCTTTGAACTTGTTGTACTCGTCGCCCATGAGCGTGGTGAGCTTGCCGATGAGGGGGTTCATCACCCCGCTCACCACGGTCACGATTCCGCCAGCCATCTGTGAGGCAAGAATTAGTTGGTATAAGCGATGAAATGAGTGGCCGGTGGAGCTAGAAAATATGTGTATGCTGTGAACCCAATACATGTATTTCAGATAATACGGCAATATCTGTGGACTGCGCAGATGGGTTCACAACAGTACATTTTCTGTTGTTGAATAATACAAGCCGATGTATTTTCGGATGGATTCGCAACAATACAACAAAGCATTTTGTTCAGATGGGTGAACTGAACTAGCACTGAATCTCACGCCCCAAAAAAATCGTTGGGATTAGCTGAACGAACCCAATGCCTATATATAACAGCAGATCCGGCCCCGCGATGATAGATCATTTACCTGATGTGGCCACGCAAATGGATTCACAACAACAATACAAGAACAAATTTGGTACAGATGGGTGAACTGAAGTGCTAAAATTTCTCTATGGTTGATCATTTACCTGATGTGGCCACGTAGATGGGTTGGTCGGGGAAGCTCCACGGATGAAGGGGAGGACGCGGACCGGCCGGGATCTGGCGGTGGCGAGGCGGACGCGGAGGAGGCGGCCGGAGAAGGACGCAGATCTGGATCGTGTGTGCTCTCAAGAGAAGGAGACGAGGGAGGGAGTGAGGACTGAGGAGGAGTGAGGAGATGTGCACTGCTTGACGGATTTTTTTTCAAAATTATGTTATTTTTTGTAGCAATTTCAGAAACTATAGGACATAATGCAAAAAAACCAAAACTAATAGCCCGTCAGCCATTCTTTGGTCGGGACTGCAGCCAAAAAACGGGTCTGCATCGCTGCTTGCCACCCAGATTCTGCCTCTAAGGGACCTATGGCAGCACCGGCCAGAGGTAATCCCAACAAGTAAGACACATCCTGTAAAGTAGGCGCCATCTCTCCCCAAGAAAAGTGAAACGTATGTGTTTCTGGTCTCCATCTATCTACTAAGCAGGTAAGGAGTGACTTGTCGTAAGAGAAACGTCTCACTTGCCTCTTGTGTAACTGCAATGGTTCACCTGCCTCATCTAAGTCCGGACCATCAATCCACTCATCCAATGTACCCTCAACCAGCCGTGCCAAGGGTAGAAGTTCAGCCCAACTTAACCTACAAAATAAAGAGATTGTTAGCGGTTATGAAAAGTATGTCAAACATAGTAAGTCATTATATGGTCTCCATTATATGCACACATACCTATCAACCCATGAATCGTGTATCAGCCAGTTAGTCTTTGGGGTACGAGTGACCAACACGTCTAAGTTGTTGCCCGCTTCCGTAAGAGCGCCCCAGTGCTTTCTATCGATGTTACCATTAAGCAACGGATACGAAGACATATCTGCAATTCAAAGAACAAATCTCAGGTGCAAATAAAACATAGTATGACATATTACAAATTATAACATAGTCCTGACATATTACAAATTAAAACATAGTCCTGACATATTACATATTAAAACATAGTCCTCACATATTATAAATTAAAACATAGTCCTGACATATTACATATTAAAACATAGTCTTGACATATTACAAATTAAAACATAGTCCTCACATATTACAAATTAAAACATAGTCCTGACATATTACATATTAAAACCCAGTATGGCACATTATATAGCTTGTGAGTTATTTCTTCCTCGTCCGCCCCTTCGGCCTCGACTGCCACGACCACGTCCGCCTCTTGCTCCTGTTGTCGCAGCCGTCGATGTGGAAGCACTCGTCGATGCGGAAGCACCATCTTTGTTCAGGTCGGGACAATATTTCATCCTATGCCCATAAGCCGCGCATAACAAACATTTTCTGGTCGCTCCACCAGCTTCAGACTGGTCCATATTGTTCCGGATGCGACGGGCCTTTCGTCTGCCCCTACTTGTTCGCCGAAGGTCTGGATGCGGGATGTATACTCTCTCACCATCGTTTACCTTGTTGAAATTGCCGACGACTCTAAACCCTGTCATCTCGCTTGTCCAGGTGTTGAGCACTGCCTCTTTTAAATAGTATGGGGACACGAAGGATATAGCATCCAACTGAATCTGGCCACAGGCAGCCAACACATGAGAGCAAGGTAGGTGCAGCAACTTCGGTTTGTTGCATGTACACTCACACGTTGGATAAAATTCAGTTCCAATTTTTACCTCGTGTGTCTTCACCTCATTTCCAGAACCAAAACCATCGGTAGGAAGCTGAACCTCATACCTCCTTTCTTGATTCTCTATGAGTCTGACACTGTGCTTCTTTGCTTTCTCTATCTTCTTTGCCATGTATTCCATGACACGGCTACAATAAGGTGTGTTCTGATTATCTTCAATATGCTTCTTTGCTAACTCGTGCCTTTCTCTGAAATATCTCAAAGTGCCATGGAATACAGCCTCCACAATAGCTGTGAGTGGCAATGCTCTATTCCCTCTCAGCACAAAGTTATACACCTCTGCAAGATTGGTTGTCATGTGGCCATACCTAGCTCCATGTGTGTCATGCAGCAAAGACCAATTCATTGGAGGCTCTTTCTCTATCCACTCAGAAAAATTCTTTATTGCCCTTCCCTTCTTTCTATTAGTATTAGGAGGGTCAATTGCTGGCAAGTCACAAAGACCAACTGGCTCCTCTAGCTCCGTGATGAGTGCTGCTAATTTAACCTGATCTTCTTCCATTTTCTTCCTTGCACGGACCTGCTTCTTAGTAAACTCATCTAGTTTTGACCAAATAAATTCGTATTTCCACTGCTGGCTCTGCTTGCATAATTTTTTGAACAAGTTCATCAACCGCTTGTTCTTGAACTGTGAGAAAAAATTAGCCCCAAGATGGCGCATGCACCACCGGCTCTGCAAGTCCCTCCAAGGTGTTGGTTCGTCATCTGCTGGATTACGAAGTGTCTTCACGGCCTTCAATATACCAGCATGTCTGTCATGAATGACACACACGTTTGGTCGGTCCTTCACGATGGCAATTTTCACTTGGCGGAAGAACCATACCCAGCTGAGAAAGTTCTCACCCTCCACAAATGCCATGGCAAGTGGGATGATTTGATTGTTCCCGTCCACACCAATAGCAGTCAGGATTTGCCCTCTATACTGACCGGTCAGGAATGTACCATCCACAAATATAACAGGAGGACAATGCCGGAAAGCTTCGATACACATAGCAAAAGAGAAGAACACTCGTTTCAACACCTTGAAATCTGGTATACTCAGCAACCTCATGTGTTGTAAGTTCACATAAGTGCCGGGATTCCTCTCCTTCAGTATGCCCAGGAGACGGACAACATTATCATATGAGTCGAAGAACGTCCCAAACCTTTCCTCCATAGCCTTCTGCTTAGCCCTCCAAGCCTTCCCATAAGGAATGACATAATTCCATCTGACCTTCACTGCTGTCTGGATGTGTTTTGCTTCCATATCTTTCTTCTCTACTATCTCAGTATACATGAGTTGCGCAATGAGACTTGAAGTCAGGTTCGGATGCTTCACCAGCAGGTTCTTCCTCACACAATTATGTGGGACGACAATGGTGACAACCCAGTGGATGTCATACTTCGGCACGTGCCCGTGCACCTTCCCAGGACAACTTGTTTCAACACATTTCACGGTATAGTTTGTTGGACTTGATATGTGTGTTCGGAAAACCCTCTGTGTAGACATAGCCCACTTTATCACCGCATACTTCAATTTTTTCTTTGTATCAAACATAGCCCCTATCTGTACTTGGTTCAGATTATACTGCCATGGAGTCTCATGGCCATCGTTCACCGTAAGGCCGGTGGATATGTCCTGCTCCCATGCAGAAGGAATCGGTACCTCCACTTCATCCTCAGAATTTCCAGAATCCAGTTCCTCCACCAATCCATCCTCGTCCTCTTCCTCCATCACCCTATGCATTTCATCCCCTTCCTCATCCCCATCAGCAAAACCAGAACCAGCTAATATTATCGACTGGCTACTCTGCCCAGTATCAGGACCACAAACATTGTGTGGCACGTAGTCTGACTCTTTCTCGGCTTGGCTAGCATCCACATCTTGTGGCTGTGACCCGGATAAAACAATCTCATTAGCCACTTCACTGCCTTGGCCGGGTTCATACCCCCTGTGGAGTTGTACGACATTCTCCTCCTTCGGTACAGGTTGCACAAGTGCATATGGGTGGATTCTTCGGTCTCGGCAGCGTCTTAACAGGGACAACCAATGTTGGCTCCTATCTACTGGCATCAACTCCCACTTGACATTTTTACAAGATTTGGTCCACAATGCGTGAATACTGACGGAACATACTTCAGGATCCAGCCCGAAACTAGTTGTCAACCAGTACTTCAATTGTCTAATGTCCGGGTCTGCTAGTGTCATGACGCCATTTTTAAACTCGCTAAGATCAACTCCCAACTCATTATATCGAACGTTACCAGCGCCGTAGTAAACATTCAAATTTACTGATTCAGACATTTTCACCTGTCAGACATTGTCATCTTCTCATTAATCACAACAAACACTAATATTACCCGCTACACTAACTACGCGCTAAAATGCCACCACAAACATATTAACTCTAACTAATAAACTATACAATTTAGAGAAAATTTGTGACGCCATGGTTATACCTTCGAAGCGTGCGTCTCTTCCGGTCACCGGCACCGGCCACCGGACAACGGCAACGCCGCCCACTCGACGGCCGGAGGTCTAACTCCGGTCACCCCACAAGCTGCTGCTCCTCCTCACCACCTCCTCCTCCACAGCTGCTGCTCCTCCTCACCACCACCTCCTTCCCAACCAGACCTCCTCCACCCCACCATGGCTCCTCCCCCAAGCGCACAAAAAACTAACCCATAACGGAAAAAAAAACCATAGGCCGGTGGAGAATGCTATGATCTATCTATTCTGTGCCTTGGTTGTGTAAATGAGTGCAAATTGGAGGAGATCAGGGAGGAGACGCGAGCTCTACAGAGAAGAACGAGAGGAACGAGAAAGAACAGAGGCGAGCAAGAGGAGGAAGGCGACGACGGGATCGGCCTTATCCAGACCTTTTCGG